CACCATATGTCCCAGAATTCCATAGCATTGGAAAATGCTAGTTAATGTGACATCAAGTTGCTAGAATTTTGTGGTGTAGATCTAGCCCATGTGTCTGACAGAAGGCTGTCTGTAATTTGAAGGGCTGTCTTCAGTATGATCTTCAGTGTTGGTTGTCCTTAACCTTGAGTCCTATGTTACAATTGGACGAGAACTCTTAGCATCTCAGCACACATAGCCAATAGTCAAGGATTGTGGGAATTGTAGTCCAAGATTCAGAAGCCTTGTGATTTTCAAGGAATCTTTGCTATATTTGAAAAAAATTCTTATATTTTAGGATGAAAAAAATTATCTTAGGCCCCTTCCACACTGCCCCTATATCACAGGATTTGATCCCTGATGATATTCTTATCCCAGATTATCTGGCAGTGGAGACTCATATAATCCAGTTTAAAGCAGATAATCTAGAATCTGATCCTGAGGTATAGGGCAGTGTGGAAGGAGCCTTAGTTTAGACCTCCAGAATTAGCTTTATTGCAATTCTTACAATTTGTCACCCTGGGTTATGCTGGCTGTGACTGCTGGGATTTGTAGTCCAGCAAGATCTAGAGGACTATGGATTTCCCCAGACTTAAAGAGATGACCAGTCTGTTTAAAGTCTGTTTAAAGATAGCAGCCGAAAGAATGGAAGAATGTTTGTATCTGAGAGAGAGAGAGAGAGAAAAAAAAAGGTAAAAGTTGTTGCCCTTCAGTACTTAGCACTTAGTGAGCCACTGCAAACAGTCCTCCCTATGGCAAAATGTAGAACAAGGTAGTTGAATAGCGATGTGTATTGTATCTGACATTGATAGATTGTAGTGTATTTTATTAGATTTTTAATAATGGTGTATTTTATATTGATACCATCCTGAGATCGTTTTATGGTGAAGGATGGGATATTTTTTTTGACGAATACTTTTATATATAAGGCAATTTATCTATAAATTAAAGCAAGTTTTTCTAAACCTGTCTTTATAAATATAAATTAATCTACACATATTTTATGCAAAGCAGTATACAGGTTTTTTTTTTTTTGCTCTCTATTTCCATAGAGCATGAATAGTAAAGGTAAAGGTTTCCCCTTGACATTAAGTCTTGTCGTGGTGCTCATCTTCATTTCTAAGCCGAAGAGCTGGTGTTGTCTGTAGACACCTCCAAGGCCATGTGGTCAGCATGACTACATGGAGCACCACTACCTTTCTGCCAAAATTCAAGGTGCAGGTTCTTACCTACAAAGCCCTGAACGGTTTGGGACCTGCCTACCTGCGTGACCGCATTTGTGTGTACGAACCCACACGATCTCTTCGATCATCTGGAGAGGCCCTACTCGCGCTCCCACCTGCATCGCAAGCGTGATTGGTGGGGACGAGAGAGAGGGCCTTCTCGGTGGTGGCCCCTCGACTCTGGAACTCACTCCCTAAGGACATCAGGCATGCCCCATCTCTGGCAGTCTTTAGGAGGAGCTTGAAAACGTGGTTGTTCCAGTGTGCCTTCCCAGAATAATGAACCCTTAGCATTATGTCCTCCAAAGCACTTTATACCGATTTAGGACTGCTTGTATGTCTCCATTAATGCCCCATCTTCATTACCTAGCATTATTTTTTAAACTTCAATTACATTTGGCCCAGCCCAGGCCCGTAGCCAGGATTTTGTTTCGGGGGGAGCTGAGTTTGATTCGGGAGGGGGGGGGCTGAGTCTGAGTGAAAGAGGGTCTACCCTAGCAAACCTTTTGTATCGTTACCCCAATACCCCCATGCATATGGGATATATTGAGCATGGTGATCAGATCATGATATGAATAAACATAACAGTTTAAATAATGTACCAGTAAGGCCTTTCGCGGACCACCATGAGAATTTGGGGGGGGGGGGCTGAAGCCCCCCAAGCCCCCCCCCCCCCCCCCCCCCCCCCCCCCCCCCCCCCCCCCTTCTCCGCGAAGATGGGGCACTGTACTTTGTTTAATGTGTATGCTATTTGTGTATGAGATTTATTTTAATTGCCTTGTATTGTGTCTGTTATTACTTGTATTGATGTATTGTGGGCTCGGCCTCATGTAAGCCGCACCGAGTCCCATGGGGAGATGGTAGCGGGGTATAAATAAAGTATTATTATTATTATTATTATTATTATTATTACTACTATTGATCTACTAACATTTACATGTTTTCCAACTGCTAGGTTGGCAGAAGCTGGGGCTAACGGTGGAAGCTCATCCTGTCCCCCAGATTCCAACCACCGACCTTTTGATCATCAAGTTCAGCAGCTCAGCAGTTTAACCCGCTGCACCACTGGGGGCTCCTTAGACCATTAGGCAGCCAATTTAATTTCTAGGCTTTGTAGGAAGCTCCTATAAGAGGGATTCAAATGGCATAATAGTCTTGAAAGAAAAGTAAATCCTGGAAATTCTTTATTCTCAGTGTCTGTTGTTCTGAGATGACTACAGAGCAGTAGAGAAAAACACTTTGTGTAGTACCTATACCTGAGGATGCAGGAGAAACTGGAGGGTCCGTAGTTAGCTTCTGTGCTATTCACAGGACCCTAAAAAGAAAAAGAAAGCTCCGATACTGGTCCTGCTGTTTCATGTTAATAGGAGGCTGTTACACATCTCCGGACCTTGGTTCCAGCGCTGTGTTCAGCTCACTCAGAGGCAGAGGGGCTCCTGAGCTGATAATTGCTGTGCTAAGTCCCCTGGGCAGCTGGTGTCAAATTGAATCAATGATCTCTTTAGCAGGAGCAAACAGATATTATAAAAACATTAGCCGCCTTCAAAGGGTGACTCATGGCGTACCTGCCAGAGGCACCGTAGATTGATGCTTGGCAGGCAGGCTTGGGCAACTGAAAGAGGGGGATGAGTAGCCAATCTTTTTGCTCTTCCTTACTCTCTTTAATCCACATTTTATGTTTACAAAAGTGAACACTAACTCTGGAGCAAACATTTCCTGATCACCATCTCTTCCAAGTCCTATTACCCTCCCTGTGGAGTCCTATGATCAGGCCTTGGAACTCCCTGGCCCTGCTTATTGCTTTAGGGACATCTTCATTTGCCTCCTCTAAGTACACAAGGAGGATCTGGAGAGAGTTTCCATAACATCTTCTGGTCCCAGGAGGGTCAAGGGAAAGGGCAACTGAGTAAGCAGCATGCATTTCTACATTTTAGAATGAAAACTGGGAGAGGTGTGGTCAGGTAAATCTGAGTGTGGAAAAAAGTAGTTTAGTTTGATTATGTTTTTTATGGATTTTATCTGAATTTTAAAAATACCAATATATTTAATTCTGTTTTAATATTTGTAGATTTTAAATTGTATTGAAATGCTTTTAATGTAACCTGCCTTTTCTTCTTGTGGAGGGAAAAAGTGGAGTGTAAATAATAATAATAATAATAATAATAATAATAATAATAAGCATACAAATTATGTACCTGAGGGACTGCCTCACCCCCTACCAACCCCAGAGATCCCTCCGTTCTGAGGACCAAGATTTATTGGAAACTCCCAGTGTCAAGGCCTTGCGTCTAACAGCAACCAGACGCAGAGGCTTCACAGCAGTGGCACCATCACTCTGGAATACTCTGCCACCTGAAGTCTGTGTCTTGCGGGACCTATCAGCTTTCCGCAGGGCATGTAAGACATATCTGTTTCGACAAGCCTTTAATCTTTGATATTGTTTTTTTTATTGTTTTTAAATTGTTTTAAATTGCATTTAAATTATGTTAGATTTTAGCCTGTTCTTGTAAGCCGCTCCAAGCCCCAGGGGAGTGGCGGCATATAAGTTTGAATAATAAATAAATAAATAAATAAATAAACTAGGAGACTGTTGTGGACTGGACGAGGACAAACATTAATAATAATAATAATAATAATAATAATAATAATAATAATAAGCACACAAATTAGGAGACTGTTGTGGACTGGATGAGGACAAACATTAATAATAATAATAATAATAATAATAATAATAATAATAAGCATACAAATTAGGAGACCTTTGTGGACTGGATGAGGACAAACATTAATAATAATAATAATAATAATAATAATAATAAGTCTTTATTTCGATCCTACTTAGCTCCCTAAATGTTGTGGCTCACAACATTTTAAAAACCATATAAGTCAACCATACATATAACAATAATCTATAAAACCAACTTTACAATAAGGCATAAATAAATATGTTTAAAAACATTTAACAAATACAGTTATTGCAGGAAAATTAAAACAGAACCAGGTCCAAATCCCAAATCCAAATGAGAGTCCAGAGTTCCAGTCCAAAGTCTATCCATTGTTAGTTCTCGTTGGTGAATGCTCATCGTTGGTGAATGCTCTTTGATTGTAGGTGAACTATAAATCCCAGCAACTACGAGAACTAACAATGGATAGACTTTGGACTGGACTGAACATGGCATACAGAACTCGCATGACCAACAGAAAATACTGGAAGGGTTTGGAGGGCATTGACCTTGAGTTGTAGTTCACCTAAATACAGAGAGCACTGTGGATTCAAACAATGATCGATCTGGACCAAACTTGGCACAAATACCCAATTTTCCCTAATGTGAACACTGGTGGAGTTTGGGGAAAATAGACCTTCACATTTGGGAGTTGCAGTTGTTGGGATTTATAGTTCACCTACAATCAAAAAGCATTCTGAACCCCACCAATGATAGAATTGGGCCAAACTTCCCACACTAACCCCCCATGACCAACAGAAAAAAACTGTGTTTTCTGATGGTCTTTGGTGACCCCTATGACACCCCCTTGTGACACCCCCAGGGGTCCTGACCCCCAAGTTGAGACACAGTGATTTAAGCCAATGCTTATGCTCTGTAGATGTATTTAGAGAACAATTGTCCTTATCCAGTTTCCCATGCTGATGCAAAGTTATTTAATGTTGTGATTAAGTCGGTGCATTCTTCAATACTGGATTGGGATCAAAGGATGGATCTGCCACAAACGTATCGGACTGACTGTCCCCTGGGAACGTACCTCACATCGGGGCTGTAGATGGCCAACCTCAAAAGGTAGAGGGCGGCACTGCCCAGTCCGAGTCCAATGAAGCCAATGAGGGGGATAAGCTGCAGAAAGAGAAAGACAGGGATGAAAAATGCTTAAACAAAATGAATATTTATCAAGGGGACTGGAGAGTGAAAGTGAGGCCTGACACATTGGAAGATTTACAGGGAAAATATGGCACAGCAGTCATGTAGCCCAGCTCAAGTACATAGTGCAGCTGTCAGTATGAGTGACCGAATTAAGAGGGGGAGAAAAATAGCCACGTCTTGGGGAGGAATTGGATCTGGGGGAAAGAAATTGCTTGCTAATCCCTCCCCCCTCCACATCTCATAGGTTATGTATGGGGTGCAGGGAGACAGTGGGTCTGTTTGACATTTCATATTGGAGTTTGGGTGAGTGAGTGGGAAGGTGTAAGGGTGGCAGAAAGCAACACGGCATTTCTCCCTTTGCCTTTCTCCCTTTGCCTGCTGAGCCTATAGAGAAATG